TGTGAGAACGATTGAACGGACAACGATGGCGGGGAGCACGAAGTGTACGGCGCGCACACGTGATCAACGTGAAGGCAGCCACGTGTTGAGAGTCCATCGTTTCGCCCAATCGGGAGCGCCAATCGCGCGTCGATCTTCGCGCCACACTTGCCATCGAAACTCGTGTTCACTGTCTCACATCCTTTGTCCGCTACTTTCATTGAGCCAGTTGACTCATCTCGCCTTTGTGCCGCTCGTCACTCGCATCGTTCAGGCGACTCTTCACCGATTAGCCCTGCGTGCCGTCGAACACGTCCCCGACATCTCGAGTCAATCGCCTACATTTTGGCCACGGTCAAACCAGATCGAATATTGCATACGCCTCGTGTTGAAGCCGTGCAGGTGGTATATAGAGGCTCTCAGAGCTGGTAAGCCTCCCAACAATTCGACCATGTCTTCTCGAGCGAGCTCTGTTGACGATATCCTTCGTTCAGAAAGCGACGACCATCTGTTCTCCAGGTCTCACTCTCACAGCGTTGGTCTCGCGTCTCCTCCACCAGCCTCTGATTTCGACGGTGACGATACCGATACCGCCGATATCGGTGACGACGCCTCTTCCTCTGCCAACGGTGAGCTTTTTTCTCTCTGTGTTGAGGCCTACGTCTCAAGAAAGACACTGCATTAGAATCGTCGCACACTCAAGAGTCTCAACCGAGTGTCTCAGACGTCACTCGTGGAATTTTTGCGCCCTCGCTCACTCAGTCGGAGCTCACCGAGGACACAGCAGTCACCGGTCCATCTCTCGGCAGTCAAGGTCCACCGAAGACTCCTCCGCAGCCCGTCGTCCCGCTTGGGTCTCAGCCACCCACAACTCCCCGTGTGCATAAGGCATCCAGCGCGCAAGTCCACTCTATTACTCCAACGACCGGAGTAGTCAACCTGCAGAAGTATCGCATGGAACTCTGTGGAGAAGTTGACCCTTTTCTGGGCATTATCGACGATGAGAAGTGGTTGTCGACCTATTCGAGCAGGGTGGATCCATCATCGGCGGCGCGCGCGAAGTTTCCGGAGTTCAGCAAGAGCAAGTTCAATGTGACGGAAGAGAATAAGATGTACACAGAATTTGTGAGTGTCTCGCCGTCACCGTGGGCGATCTTGAGAATAGCTTCTGATGATAGATCAATGTAGGCCCGCGTTGCACAGGAGATACTCGACGCCGGTAGTGCTGTAGGTGGCAGAAAGAAACATATGCGTACGCTAGTCGTCAAAGATACCGGAAATCACCCGGACATCGAAGAGGGGAAGAAGCCTGATCTGACGTTCTACGCCAACACACCGGAAGCAAGCAAGGCTTATGAACTGAACAAAGATGAGCTGAAAGACGCGAAAGTGACTCCGGAGGAACGCCGTGAGTACTTAGGCAGAGCGGCTTGGCCTCACGCTTGCATGTTCGTGGAGTTCAAGGCGGCTGACAACAAGAATCCATTCGAGAAGCGGAAGGACGAATATATGCCTCGGGGTACCGACGATGCGAGGAAGGCGAGAGGACAGATGTACCAGTATGCGACGGCGATCATGAACGCTCAACCTCGCACGCATGTCTTCTTCATCAGCATTTGAAAGACTCAGGCGACTCTGTTCTACGCTGATCACTCGCAGTTCGTTTGCACAAAGCCCTTCAATTTCACCGGCAAGTCGAGCGCTCTGTCGACGTTCCTCTATCACCTCGGACAGATGAACCGGGAGGAACTCGGCTATGAC